TATCTAACTTCATTGTTTCTCTTCAAACTAGCCAAAGCAGTAAATGAACGCTGATCCCTGATACAAACCTGTAACAACCACCTGAAGAAGAGAGCAGCGAGGAGGAAGACTTCCCTACATTACCTTTCTCTCCTGTTTATTTTTTATTTGAACACACATTACAAATAATAACTGCACAGAAAAAGTTTTGTACAAAAAGAACAATTGTTTATATAAACAGCACTTTTAATATACTATATTATATATTGACATTGTATATTGGCATTGGTTACAACCCTGCACAATCAACTGCATTCAATTCCTGTTGATGTTAATAGGTCCTAATGCTTTAAAGTGCCGGATTGTGAGCCAATGTATTTTTAGAAACTATAGATATAGATATATATGATTTGTGGTTGGTTGGGTTTTTTCAAGGGCTGCATTCATTTAAAAGTTTGGATGCATGCAATAAAGGCAGGTGGGTGTTTTTAGCTTCTTTTTTAAAAAAAGGAAGATTTTCGGAAGCACATAGCATTTAGGTAGGAATAATGAAATCTTTTCCTATTTTTTCAGGGTTTCTAATACATTTGTTACTACTGATTATCAGTCAGATAAAATTTTACTGAAATATTCAAAATTTCAAGGTTCTGGAATCCCGTGCAAACAGCAAAAGGCAGGTACAGAACATTGCAAATAGTTGTATGTCACTGTCCTTTTATTATGTAGCGTAGTCCAAGCAAACATTGTCCAGTTACTATCTCAAATATATATTTTTCTCTTTCACTTAGGGTGTGGGCACTGAAATATTTTGAATGTGATCTGGTTTCTATCCCACTGCAGATGAAGCATATGTGAACTACAGAGGGTTATCATAGAGGTCAATAGAGCCCCTATTCCTACTCCCTACTTCCCTCCTTAAGAGCTAAAGCATGACTGGCCATTAAGTGGAATGTGAGATCTGGAGCACCTTTCACTCTTTTTGCCTAAACATGAGTTACTTATGCTCTGAGCTTGAGTAACTTGTGTCATGCAGAGAGGGAGAGCAGGAGGTATGCACAAAACCTCCAATTCCCTATAATAGCTTGTGCAAAGACAAGAAGAGGGAGTGAAGAGAAACTGGTCTTTTGAGCCCTTTTTTCTGCACATGGGTGCTGCACCTGAGATGGGACTGGATCACCCATGGAAACTGAAATATGTAAAAATAAACAATGCAAATATGAATAGAGTGTATAATTTTACATCTATATTCTTTTTTAATTAACGTTTTCAACAACAAAAAAGCAAAAAAGGATTTGCTATCAGTTGTTGTTAGCTTTGTGTAGTAATTCAGCTGGTGCCCTCAGTTTTGCTAAAACTTTCAAGTATATTTTACTGAGTCTTGGACAAAAGGCTGGCACAACTGGAGAGAGAGTTCATGAGATGCTGGTGGTTTTTTACTTGAAAATGTGTGTGTGTGTGTGTGTGTTTGCGTGTGTGCTCAACAGTGTGTGCTTTGCAACAGCCAACACGCTGTTCATACTGAGTGAATTCAAAATGAATTCACACATAATTCAGTGCATTATCATATTTACTGCGGCATTCTGCTATAGTGCACTCCTTTTATACAGAAGATATGCAAGAATGATACAGTGGTGCCTCGCAAGACGAAATTAATCCGTTCCGTGAGTCTCTTCATCTTGCGGTTTTTTTCGTCTTGCGAAGCATGGCTATTAGTGGCTTAGCGGCTATTAGCGGCTTAGCGGCTATTAACGGCTTAGCGGCTATTAACGGCTTAGTGGCTTTAAGAAAAAGGAAACAAACTCGCAAGAACTCGCAAGACGTTTCGTCTTGCAAAGCAAGCCCATAGCGAAATTCGTCTTGCGGAATGACTCAAAAAACGGAAAACTCTTTCGTCTAGCGAGTTTTTCGTCTTGCGAGGCATTCGTCTTGCGGGGCACCACTGTATCAACTCATTTGAAGTATTTTGTAACAATGGTGTAAGCCATTAGAACTGCAAGTAGGAGGCCGAGACAGGCTGCCTTTTATTCCCCAGGAGCGGACCTGGGGGAATCCGATGTTTCCACAGGCCCACCCACAGGGAGGTGTCCACCTCACAGGCCTGCCATTGATTGGCTGAATTTGGGCAGGCCTGAAACCAAGGTCCAGCCAGTGAGACTAGGCCTGGCTGCCTCGCCAGCTGGGAAGCCTCAAACAAACAGGGCTTCCTCCAGAGTGTGGCGCGGCGCATCAGGACCCAGCCACAACACCACCACACCCAAAGGGTGAGCGGACTTGTCTTACTGCTGGTCTATATATTACACTTGCTTCATGGACTTTGCTGCAAACCACCTATTCATTTTGAGGACAGCCTGCATTCCATCCCCCAGCTGCCACTAGGAATACCCAGCAGCAGTGAAGACTCATCAAGATCTCCAAGCAGTGTTAAATATGCACATTATAAGCTGTTCTAGACCTGCAGGTGCAGAACACTTGCAGTGTAGAGGCTGTCTGAGTGACCGTGCTGTGGGGAGTGTAGTATATAGATTGGCAGCTAGTTGTTACTTTGCCATGATGCAGAAGTCTGCAACTGCAAAATCTTTCCCGTCTCTTTTCTGAGAAAATTCTATGTGAACAATGGAGAACTTTGCCTTCTTGTAGATGAAAAAAGGGGAAACCCGATGCTCATGAGGTTCCATAGTCAGTTACAGGCTTTGCTAGCATTAGCAATTATTAATGAGTTTTACAGTATATGTGGGGTGTGCTATAGGCATTAAATGTGTGCAAAATTTGTTTAGGATGTCACTGCCCTGTTAGCCTCCCAGATAAGAGATGTAGACTAACTGGTTGTAGCCAGTGAAGTTGTCTTGTTTGTGGAAGGACCTCCACTGGTGCAATGTACTTACCTTCCTTTTCCTCTCCCTGTTTCAGAGGGTTGGGGGAGTGTCCAGAAAAGATGGGGAGACATGCAGGAGAAGGAAATGGAGGGGAAGTTCTGTTGCACTAGCGGAAGTCATTGTGTGAACAGGACTTACTTTGTTTTTGTACAGCAGTTCCCTGCACCGCATGGCAAACTAGTGAGGTGATGCTGCCATTCAGTGAAGTCCTCCTGGGGAGCATGCAGGCCTTTTGGTATGGTCAGATAATCTCTCTGGATTCTGGCCCACACAATTTATTGGGATGGAATGGTCAAAATAAATGTGACAAATTCAAGTGTTCAGGAAGTGGTGGGTAGGGTTAAGGCTGGATTAATTTGTTAATACTTTGAGAGAAAGAGATGCAGAAGCTGAGGAAGAGGTTAGATATGATTACGCTAAAAGCAGGTCTGTGTTAAAGAACAATTTTCTTTTGCAACTTTGTGTTTGTCGACCTGTGTATTCAACCTGTATGCTTGTGGGAAAATGACAGGGTAGATAATTTTTCCTACTCATAAATTCTCTCTCTGTAAGACAAACCCACGTGTGTAGTGGCTTTAACCTTTTTTCTCAAACTCATTCTTGTTATCTGTATCTCTTGAAGTGGTAACAAATCCGTTCTAATACAATTCCAGTTTTCCACTTCCTTTTGTTAAGGGCAGTTCAGAGATGGATTTAGGTATGTCTACTTCAGCAGTTGCCATTTAGCTTGAAGAAAAGTTTCACAAAAAGAAAAGCCCCACCCCCCACCATTAGTAAGATATTGGGAAGTTATTTAAAAGTGTTGGATCCAGACTTCGCTTCTCCTGTTGAAGATAAGAGATGTTGGAGACAAATTTTGGCAATTCCCTCTGCAGCCCCCAGTGCCCCCTCACACAGTTCTGGAGGGCTGGGAGACCTATAGGAGGTAGGAAAAATTGGAAAATGTCCCCTGCCTCTTTCTGCTACTGGGATCCATCGGGTAGATCAAAGCCTTCCATGTACAGAAGCCTTTCCATCTGTGGAAGGTAAAAGTCTAGCTCCAATCCTCAGTCTCCACCTAACTTATTGCTCTTATCAAAAAAGTAACTGTGATGGTGTTTAAAATTATCAAATAAAAAAATCTTACTCTATTTTGACTATGCTTGGAAGCTATTCTTGAGAAATGTATTTAGAAAATGCAGTCTATTTTTTACTAACTGAATACTGCCTGTGTCAAGTCTGTAACATTTTGCCAAAATGAAATTATTTTATTTTTGCCTTTATTAAAATGTAGAAATAAATATTTTGCCAGAAAACATTAATTTAAATAAAATGTAACAGTTTGGGGAAAATGTAAATGTACATATTAAACTATTAACATAACACTGGAACTGCCTTTGGATGTTCAGATATGGTTCATCTGATTTGGGCTTGGTTTGGCTTGACTTTTAGTTACTGATGTTACTAGCACTGATTGAAGTCCACAGTAAACTCAGTGAGAGGTTTTCCTGAACAGTAGGATTTGAATCCATCCCTAATACTGTATGTTCACTGTTCATATACAATGCTGTAGTGCTTGGTGAGTGTCTCTAACTCCTGGCTCATTCTTTATCACCACATCATAGAGATTGCACTGCTGGAAGAGAAGGTTATTCCATAATACAAAAGAGCATTTTGGTTCAGTAAATTGGATTTGGATGTAGAAGCCCCAGATAGAGCCTTGCTGAATGGTCTTGGGCAACTCACAGGATGGCTAAGTGCATACAATAGGATATGCTATAATTTACACTGAGCTTTCGGGAGTTCCAGAGTAGCTTTTGGGTTGGTTGCAGATACAACTGAATGTATCACTGATTATATTTGTTCAAGTATAATCCTATACTGTCAAGCTGTTGTTTCTCTGTTCTTGGTCACTGTGGCGCTAAATAAATTGCCCTGAACCCTGGCATACCCAGAGGTAAGTTGTGATAGTGCACACAGTCCCAAGGGCAACGCTAGATAGGCAGACAGTCCAAATGGTCAAATACAGGTCCAAGTCCAATGCAAAGAGCAAGTTCCAAAGTCAAACCATCAGGCCAGGTTCCCGCCTTTGCAGAAGATCCAGGGTTGGAACACCTGGGGGTCAGTCCCAAAATCACAGTCCAAAAGCTGCCAAGCTCTGGCCCATCAGCAGAGAGAGCTGAGCAGACACAGAGGCTTTTGCCTTGCTTCCCTTTTATCCTTCTCAATCTTGATTGCTGCATCTGTGTTTGCTCCAGCTGAGCAGCTGGGCCTCTCCACTTGAGGAGGCATGTGATCCCCACCTGCACTGAGCCTAATGCAGCTGAGGGACCACAAACCTCCTCCCAGACCTAACGAACCTCATAGTCCTCACCTGGTCCACTAGTGTGCTGGGCTGTATTCCCTTGCCTGCCTCAGTCTCCTAGAGGGCACTTTCCTCTGGCTTCCATGAACTGTTACCTGCCCCTTCGATGTCCTCCAATGTCCTGTGAGTACCTCCTAAGTCCCCAACCTCACCTTCCCTGTCTTTAGCTTGTCCCAGTTTGTGTCAGTCGTGGCTACACACCTCATCCGTATCCTCCTCCCCTTCCTCAGTGTCCTGCCAGTTTGCGGCATAAATACTTAGTATGCATCCACAATAATTGTTTTTGAATTCTTGTGTTAATTTTCTGGAAGATGTGAAACTTTGCACTGCAGCATTCTGTTCCAGAGTGCATATCAGTCTTCCCCTACTTTTCTTGTACTTATCAGTAACACGCACTTGTGCATGTGAATACGGTAATTGCTAGAGTCATACCAGGCATAGTTTTAGAATACAAACCTGCAAATGTGTTATCTGATGCTTAACAGAGTAATCTTATACTCAGATGTAAGGGTGAGTTCAATGGGGCTTGTTCCCATGTGAATAAGGTTGCAGTCCAAGACTGCATCACAGGAAAGTACTTTATTGTGTCTAAAACCCATAAAATTTGCTTTAAATAGCCTTACTTCAGCCTAAACATTGCTTCTTTTCTAAGTTGCAAATGTATTTTCTCATCTGCCATCTTTTTGACACTTGATTTAAAGTGAATTTTAAATAGTTAGAATAACGTGCATATTGTGTATACAGAAACTTGTCAGTCTTCATTTGTAATTGTGGCAATGTGTTACACAGACACTCTTGTCCTGTAATAGGCATAAGGCATTAACCAAAGAAATGTCTGGCAAGGCAACCGGTTGGAATTTTAAATACGTCAGTAGCAAGGGACCCACATCCAAGTTGCACAATGTCTTGCTTCACACTGTGGATAATTCCGAGTTTGATCAAACTCAGAACTGTTGAATGCCACAATATGAATGAGAAGACCGCTTTATTTGAGAACTAGGTATGCATGTAAATGTTGTGACCATGAAATATCCAGAGGTGGTGAAGGGAAGCTCAAAGTTAAGCTTCTTAGAAAATACTCTGTTTTATAGTGCCATCAGGTGAAACTTACATTAAACTGGACAATCCAGCCATGGGAATTCTGTGCCACGACACTGCAAGCTATTGTAGCCACCTCACAATCCAAAGGGCAACAGCAGGATACATTCCCTGGGCTAATGAGCCAAATATATCATAATGCTTCCCCAAAACTGGTCAAAGTTAGCAATGGATATTACCTCAGTGGAACTTCCTTACCCTCTCTTCTAAGGATTCCGCTCCAGATCTGCTCTCAAGGCTTGGGGAAAAAACACACAACAAATTTAGGGTGTGTATGAGGAATTTTTGTTGAATACCTGGTGATAGATTTATTTTTTAAGCCCCATTGCTTTCAATGAGTGTTAGGCAGCAATCCAAAGACCTGCCCAGCCGGAGTAGGGCTTAATGTAGCAGTGTAATGATCACTGCATCCACAGCCCAACCACTCGCAGTAGCCAGGGTGGAAATTGGGGAGAGTATGAAAAAGTGCCTCTTTGCTATTCTGCCTCCTAGCTTGGTGCAGACTCTAATTGGCCCTACTCTCTGTCTTTCACCTGGCATAGGTCATGGCCCAGGCAGTTTCTGCATTGAAACCAAGTACAATGGTCATCCAGATGGTCAGTCTCATCCAATATATTCTTTAGTGCTTACCCAAAAGAGTCTGTAGTTATTACAATACTTGGGGTCCAAAGATGCTTTTCAAGAGCTGACTGAAATTCTCCATCATTCGAGTCATAGCTACCTATCCCCTCTTACAATGGCCATCTTTTACTGTTAGGAAAAGCGTGATTTGGCCCAACGCCAACTCAAAGGACCTACAGAGTTCAGAAGCACACAGCAAATTCTGGAAGTATTTTCCTGTTTCCCATCCACTCACAATTTCACCTGCTTGCGAAATTGGAGAAAAGTTGTTTAGAGTTTGCAGAAACTTTCTGGCGCTTGCTCACTCCCCTCAGAATTTTCTATCTGTTGTTGCTTTTCTTAAATATACTTTGTGAGTTATGGGACCGCCAGTTACTACCATTAGTGTTTCTTATTTACACGTACTCCAGGTTCAGACTAATGTGTACTGCTACTTAATGGTTCTTGTTTCTAACTATTAGCAACAATATGCTACTGGAACTATGGACAGTAGCATTTGTAGCTTTGATCATTGTTAACTATGGTAAATGAGTTCCCGGTTCTCTCTAGCATGCGTGCCAGTCCCAGGAAAACAATATTAATATTACAGGTTTCAAAATAAACAGCAAATGTCTTGACAGCTAATAAGTTAGCTTCACCCAGGATTTTTTCTCTCACTTGAATGGCTTTCTCAAAAAATGTGTGTGTGTGTGACTTTCATAGCAATTTATTTTGTACACTTGAGAGATAGTATCAGTACTAAGACACAAACTTCAGATGTTGGAAAGGCATGCTTTTGAGGCTCCAGTCCTCTGATTTCTGTTTGTCTTTCTCTATTTGAAAACATTTGCTAATGCAGTTTGTGTCTGAATTACATAGTTATAAGAAGTACAGAGGAGGCATGGAAAAACTGCTGTATGTTTTTGCCCAATATGCATTGCTATTGGTTGGTTAGCTGCATTCAAAAGGCTAAGACTTTATTGCCTACTAGTGAAAGCAACCTTTCTTCATAGTGGAACAGTACAAAGGAAGAGCACAAAATGTACATACATCACAGTGCCTGGAATTCTGTTTGAACAAGTGTATTGATTGGGTCTGACCTCTTTACACTTTTTTCCATTATTTGAAAAGGTGCATCTAAGTGTAGCTGAATTGAACCAACTGAGATGAACTTTCCATGAAAACTTCTTGAGATATTTCTTTTAGTTCAAAGCTTTGGGATTTTTAAAGGGCATTTTTAATACAGTCTGTTGAGGTGTTCTGCGCTGCAGCCACACTTTGAATGTTTTAAACTACAGGTAAGTCTGAGAAGAAGGAAGAAAACGGAGGTGTTGCAGGAGTATCATGGTATGGAGAAATAGTAGCCTTTTGACCTATGGAATAAATAAAAATGTCAAATAATGCTTTGAGAGAGAACTTTATACTCCTGTGAGCCACATTAGCATGCTGCTTTGGAATCACAGAAAGGTATCTGAAAGAGATCAGCCGCTCCAATTGACTATTTTGACAGCTAAACAATTCATGACATGCTTGTACTGAACTTTCCTCAAATATCTCTTAACAACAGATTTCACGACGGCTGGAGCGAATGTTCTTCATGGCCCATTTAGTTAGCCAGTGAGCTACACTGAGTCTCATAAAGGCACTAATCAAGGCACAAGACAAAGGAGAAAAGCATTTTAACGTGTCTGATTTATTTAAATAAGAAGCAAGAAAAAAACGAAAAACTAAAAAATATGTTAAAATTGGAATGTGAATTAATAGCACCCCCATTTTTCAGTGTACCGGAGACAAAAGGAGTAAGAATGGAGATATGGAGGGGAAATGTGGAGTCTTTGCAAAAAGTGTCTCTTAAACTCAATGTCAGGTGGTTCTTGCTAGCATGGTAATTACCCATAATCAAAATATCCATGTTTTTGATATGACAAACTACATGGGGCAGTGGCTCTGCGATACAGCCATAGTTCATGGGTAATATAAATCAGATAAAAGGGCAAACATAAGAATGAACTGTGTCAGTCCCTGAGGTTTGTGTTTTGTTCTGGGGAAATCTTATGGTTGCTTTGGGCATATTTATGTGGGAAAGCATACAAATGGAAATAGTAGTAATAATGATGATGATGATGATGATGATGTTACTCTGATCCATATAGCTGAAGGTATCAATCAGTGAAGTTAGTAATCCTTAGCTAATGTAAGTAGGATGCCTGTTTGTGTGAAGGTAGGATTTGGAGCAGGGAAGCCAGTGTCATGCCCTCCAGATATTATGGACAAGTCCCATAATTCCTGACTATGGGCCATACTGATTGGAGTTAGAGGAAATTCATTTTGTCGTCTTTTGGTTTTATAACAAAGCAGAGCAAGGGAGGTACAGCAATAATAGCTCAGAGGTTGCTCCCGCCCATCAGGCCCCTATGGTCAGGAACATAGAGCCAAGGCTGCAGGCAAAGATGCCACAGCCTGATCAAGATGGACTGTCCACTTCCCCAACAGAGCTATCTTCTATCAACTGCCCAATGCAAAATAACAGGGGGAAAAGGCAAGAATATAAATAAAACTCATCTGTGTCAACTGGACTGTTCCACAGAGCCAGCTGTGGTGCAGGAAGCACGCTAAAAACGTATTGTGTGCGCGCTGAGAGGTAGGTCCTGAAGAACCCACAAAAGCAAGTCAAGGAGGGCTGCATTCTCAGTGGCGATGGAATGGTGACAGATTGTTGGGGTGGGGGAATAGCATACACTGAATGGAATCCTGAACGGAAGATGATTCAGGTCTCACTTGGAACAGGCTAAAAGCAAATTCATTTCCCAAGGGCTTAGCCTTATGTAGCCAAAACATCACCACAACCCCTACAAACAAGGCAGTGTCAACAACCTCAGACCCCAAAGAATACAGTAATGCCAAAAAAACCACAACCCAAGGGATCAATGCTTTAAGAAGGGCGAGGGAAAACAGAGGATCAAAAACAAAAACACACACTCTGAAATAGCCCCTTAAGTACCCAGTATGCTCACTGGCACGGAATACTGTCTGGGGGTGGGGTTGAAATCCAGATAGGGGAGGGAACTGAATGAAGTAAACTGGAACATGCAGGGTATGGCTGGTTGAGTGGAACCCTTCATAACACACTATGCTGCACCATTTTGTACAGGCCTACTTGCATTGTTCTATTGTGATGTTATTACTGTTATTTTTATGTTACTTGGAAGTAGCCTTGGAAAGAATTTGTATTCCAAAGTGCAGAATAATTATAAGAGCTAAACTTTCAAACAGCCTAAACTGCTTGAAAAAAACGAGTGACACAACCATCATTACTTTGCAACTAGTTTCAGTAATTATTTTTTTTTTAAATCACCCAATATAAAACCAGACTAATTACTGTAATATCTATTTATCTAATATATAGTATAATATATTTTCACAGAATGTACTGTGAAATAATGAACGGGGAAGATTCTTAAGACCACAGATTATGTATTATTCCTAACACTTTTCCCTGTGGCCTTAGCTATAAACCTTTTTTTCAACTCTATGTCATCCTTCTGACTCAAGTATATCTTCAATGTGACTATCAAGGTGGGTCAATAACTGTATAAAGTGAGCCACATATTTATCAAATGCCATATGCAAAGGACTTTTAAGATTCATGGGCAAGTCTGATAAAAGTGGATTGCTTTTTCATATCAAATATACCACCTGGCCTTTCCATGTTTCGTGAACACTTGGTTCCTACTTCAAGTTTCTCCTGACAGTTCATAAGGACTCAAAGCAAACCATGATGTGAAGCTTTGATTATGAAGCCTACCAGTGGTGCCGAGTCTCTTTGTCTGCTACATTTTATAGAGGCAGCTTCAGTGCATAATTTAATCTCTTCTGGGGACTGTAGCATATCCACAGGAGATTTCCATGGAGCAGTCCTCCTGCCATGAGAACTAACGTGTGCATACAATCTTTTGATGTGAATTCCCCAACCCTAGCCTTAGAACGACCTGTGGCTTTGATGCTGCCCTAAAATTGTGCTTTCTGAAATAAAACTTTTTGAGGATCCTTAGGAACAGTAGATAGAAAATTCTAGAAATGTTGTATGAAGTCAGAGCACCTTCTGAAACCCTTCCTTTTTGACCACAGGGTCTCCTTCACAGTGAGAACATGTTTTCCCTTGGCAATTGGAAGCCTTTCTTCCTTCCTTTCTTTTAACTGAGATACTTCTCTTGGGAGTGAGAATGCTGAGAAAATTAGGCAAATCTGTATCTGGACTGTAGTCCTCCATACTAGGTTCAGTAAAATGACAGAGTGGGGTGTTGTGAAACAGCAGCCAATTATAATTGTTGTATTTTTACTGCCAGGAGGTGCAGTACAAGAGGTGCTTGTAGGATTCTCAGCCTCTGTACCAAATTAACTTGATCTGTCTTGATTACTATGTACTATGGCAGGGGAAAGGCATTTGCTGCACTGCCCCAGGCAACAAATTGTTTCAGGCCAGCCCTGACTGAAGTCTCCCCTAAACAGGACTCATTCACTCCCATCTTGAGACTAGCTAGACACCCAGCTTGAGTTAACCAAGAAAAATAAGAAGCAGAAAGTTTGAAAATCAGTTGTCAGCAATTTCCAGCATGGGGACAGGCAAAGCAAAAATGAAATGCCACGAAAGGTCAATTAAATTAAAATGTTTTGGAATCAAAAAGATAAAAATTATTCAGCTAGTAAAAATTCAGGACTTGCAATGCTGCTTGTAGACAGTATCTTCAAGAGTAACCTGAAATTTTGAAACAACTCATTCATAAAATGAGAACTCCTTTCAATCAGAATTTGTCATCTTTGGTTGCTTGCTTTATTTCTATTTTCTTAACATTTAAATAGGAATAAAATTCAGAGAGTGATAAGGAGTGAAAAACACTAAAACAGCATCATTAGTGCTATTTGAAGTTAGGGATAGTTTGTTTTTTCTGATTGTGGAGAGGCAGGGAGAGACATTTCTTTCCCTACTATTGTTGTTTGAAGGCTTGAAAGCCATTCTTTATTCATCCTGAAAATGGAGAAAGGCATCCAGAACAGAGGGTGAATTAGGTAAGCAGAACTAACCGTGAATAATCAGTTCTCATTTTATGCCAGGTATACGTGCTTCAACTGTAGTTTTTCAGACTACAGCCACTTTAATCCTTGATGTGAACAGCTCCTTCAACAAACAGCCCTTTTAGTTCTATCACTTTACCCACAGTACAGTCATACCTCAGGTTACGGACGTTTCAGGTTGCGTTTTTTTGGGTTACGGACCCACCGCAACCCGGAAGTACCGGAATGGGTTACTTCTGAGTTTCGGCGGTCGCACATGCGCAGAAGCGCTAAATTGCGCTTTGCGCGTACAAAGAAGCGCCGAATCACAACCTGTGCATGCGCAGACGTGCCGCGGCGGGTTGCGAACACGCTACCCGCATGGATCTCGTTCACAACCCGAGCATCCACTGTACGTTCTGTAAAACACTGGATGGGTATAACTCATTTGGAAGAACCGCAGCAACAGCATCAAACTCTCTTCGCAGGCTCTAGCTGGAATGGTTATGCAAAATCAATATAATGTAGGTAAAAGACCAAAACGGTATCAAGTTCTGAGGAAAAATGGTTTCACACTGAAACCAAGCAAAAATGATTCCAATGTACTACTAATTAAAATGCATAATTTAGATACAGTGGTACCTCAGGTTACATACGCTTCAGGTTACAGACTCTGCTAACCCAGCAATAGTACCTTGGGTTAAGAACTTTACCTCAGGATGAGAACAGAAATTGTGCGGCAGTGGCGCGGCGGCAATGGGAGGCCCCATTAGCTAAAGTGGTAGCTCAGGTTAAGAACAGTTTCAGGTTACGAACAGACCTCCAGAACGAATTAAGTACTTAACCCAAGGTACCACTGTAAAAGTTGTTAGTTAATGTACTTAAGAGAAAATTGAGGCAGGTTGTTTGTACTGGAGTACTGAAACTTTTCACATTCAGGTACCTACTCTCCTTTCAACCCACTCTGTTAAAGTCTCCTTAACCTTTTCAGGGTTTCTGCCAGTGAAGCTTTAAAGATCAATAGTGTATACACAGATACAACACGGTTAACTTACAAATGTGTATGTTAAGGTTACTCCCCTCACTGAACATTTTGTCTGTTAATTCTTTATCCAAACTTCCTTTGGCTAATCAGTTTCTCTCTCATACATGCATCCCTTTCTCTCTCTTTCACACGCATGCACAACTCTGATATTAGAAGTCCACCACACTAAAAGCCAGGGCTGGGCACATCCTAAAATGCTGTTCCCTTTTGGGATGCCAGCAAGACAAAGGAGCTCCAATTCTCACTTTTTAATAATTATATCATTCAAAACCCAGTGTGCTGCTTTAAAAAATAAACCACACTTAAAGACATCAAGTATCATTTCGATAAATCATTTTAACAAGCTTAAGAAAGGTTTGATAGCCATCATGGAATAGGAGGGGGGACAGAAGAATTATGTAAAAGGGGATCGAGAACTAACTTGCACCCTCCCCACAACCAGCCCAATTTTATTTTCATACTTTACAAAACAAAATGGATACAGTCATGCTGATAAAAATAGTTTCATGGCGATGGAAAAGCAAACACTATTCTCTCTCTAAAAGGGCCTTATTCAAACCATAATAGAAAGGTCTGTGCTGTAGGCAGTCCAATACTTTGCACTGTAACCATAAGGCTTACTTTGCTTAAAGGCAGATTTGATCTGTAGTTATGTACCACTGGATTTAACAAACATCATTTTATAGTTGCTTTTTGAATTTTTCTTAGCTTGAGGATCTTCAGCATCGCTGTGCTTTTCAGTAGATTCTGCAGCCTCTTCTTGCTCAGACTCAGAATCACTTTCCGAGTCCTCTGAGCTTTCTGGCTCCAGAGAGTCTCTTGTATCCTCTGGATCTCCCTTGTCTTCTTCAAACTAAAAGAAAAATTCAGATTACAGAAAATGCAAAAACTTCCTGTCCCTTTTTTTAAAAGTCATACTGAAAAATGGATGTTTCAACGTAACAAACAAAGCCCATGTACAAAACCCATGTAAAATCATCTTAATGAGTTTTGCATCTTGGCTGAGTCCTGGAAGACCTTACAGGCCTTTCCCACCTGGCCTGGGAGGTGTGGGCCCTGATTTGACTCCAGCTACAAAAGCTGAGGCTGATGAACAGCATTTCTATTCATTGTAAGCCACCTTGAGCAGGGTTCAAACTATGGAAAGGCAGCATACAAATAAAATGATGGATGTATCATTAAGGAAACAAAGCAGCCATGTTGAGGCCCCTTCATACAGCAAAATTTTGAAGTACGCGACAGCGCAATATACACGCACTCAGAATCCCATGTAAGCAGGTAGAGGGTTACAGCCTCGTTTCACCAGAGATAAGCCCATAGCCATGCAAAATCAGGCATTTGCTCTAAGCTAGAGATGGCCAACTTCTGCATTTTGGAAGCCACCAGACTTAACACATGCAATGTTTTGTTGCGTAACCTAACTAAATAGTGATCAATCAAGCTTCACGATGAAGTTATGGAACAGGCAAGAGCGCCAGAGCAAATGGGAAAATGTGCATTTTGGCATGGCGAAGACATTACAACAAAACCCAAAGAAAGTGTGGCAAAATGTTGAAAACCATTCCCTCCTGCCTTGCACGTAAAACTTTGGGCGAAACCTTTTACCACAAGAAGGTAAGAATTTGGCACAGCTCCAAAGGTCAAATAAAGTAGTTTTGTGGGCTTGATTTGAGTTAGCCATCCCTGCTCTAAGCTGTATCTTCTTATGAATTCAAGGCAGAAGCAAGGGAATGCTGTGGTGATGCTAAATTATAATGCCTCTTCGTGAATGTGGGAAAACCTCCAGCCCTCTGGACCTCCAAGAACTCCTACAATTCCAGTGGGCAAAGTTTACAGACTGCAGCAGCTGACTACACTGGCCCACTGGCTAAAATACAGCAGTTTTAAAGTGTGGCCTGAGGAATGGATGGGCTTGTGTATGTGCCATGCGACAGTTTGACATACTTAAGCAGCATGCACTGTACAAAACTGTGCTTCTGTTGTGTTGTCTGTGTGTTTGGCTTCTAGAGAAACACAACTTCTTGAGTCACTATTTCAAGTTAAACATGATTACCTCACTGAAGCCGAGTCCACAATGCCGCCGGTTCCTTCCTGACATGGTGCTATCCATGCTTTGCTGGAACTGAGTTTCTAGCTCATCATTCATCTTCTTGTCTTCTTCCCCTATATGTTCATACACGTTGGTTACCATCCAGTCAAACTAACAAACAAACATCTAATTACAACACAAAAGCAGGAGCATAAGGCCTTTTAGAGTCAGAATACTTCATGCGAATCACCATGCCTTGCTAGTGCTTCATTACAGACATGTGCTAAAACAAAGGGACAGAACAGCTTCAAAAGCCTTGAAAGCAATTGTCCTAGGGAAAGCTTTGCTCCCACCAATGGCAGAAGATGCGTAATCCCAATTGAAAATTACTAATGAAATCTCAAGTGAGCCAAAACAGCACAGCTAATTAATTTAATCCATGAAGCTTATTTGATGGCAAGACAAAAACATTATCCAGAAGCAGAAGCTCCAGACATTTGTTGGTAAAGCATGATTTGTTCATGGCATGCCTGTGTCCAGTAAGTAAGAGACAATGTATGCCTTAGGCCAATGGGTTGCACATTGTGGGGTGCTCCTGCTCTCATTCAGCTTGCCAAAGAGCCAGTGTGGTTTTAGTGGCCTGAGAGATGGTTTTGAGTTCAACTCCTTGCTTTATGAAGCTTAGTGGGTAGCCTTGAGAAAGCTGCTATTCAGCCAAAAAAAGGGACTTCCTGAAAACAGTCACACTTCATTAAAAGATACATAAATTTACTTCCACTTAATTTAGACTGACCTGTTCTAAAATGAGAAGTTGATCTGTGGTCTCCAATAACAAGGCGGCCAGTATGCTCTTTCTAAAAGAAAATAAAGCTATTATTTGAGAACAATTGCTGTCTCTTGAAGCAAATCACAACAATGAGTTCTGCAGCACTTTGCAAGTTTTTATGCTCCATGGGTCACCTTGCCATAGACATTATTTGTAAGTATCATAAAATTATTGTGCCAGCTTTCAGAGAGTTACATTCTGTTAATGCCCAGCATTAACTTCATCATATTTTAAAAATCAGATTTTTGTTTGTTTAATATCAATGTTCTAGCATGCAGATTTCATATGTCCAAACTGATAAAATGAAACAACCAGATGCTGTAAGTAATTATGGAGGAAAGCAAAAATAAAAGCAAAAATAAAAATAATCAGAGATTCAAATATGGAAGTCCAACATAGAACCAGTTTCATACTATATGAGGAGTACAAGTATCATAAAACACATTTTTCTTCTTGATGACATTAGCTTCCATTCTATCTTCTATGAAGCACTTGGATGTTTGCTGTGAAACTGCTGTATCAGCCTACCTCTACAGACCCCAGTTACCTAATAACATAACGAGCTCTGCTGGATGAGACTAAAGGCCCATCCAGCAGGACCACAAGCAGGACCAGAGTGAAACAGCACTCTCCCCATATTGTCTCAAGCATCTTACTTGAAAAACTATTCAGCTGTAATCTTGACTGGCTGCTTTATTCTGCAGATTTATTCTGTTCATCCTTCAGAGTATCAGTTAACAATCATACTAGCAAAATATTTGTTCCCCTATGTTCACTGAAACATAGTAACTTGCTTGTTTAAACAATAATAAAATTAAACAGCATTATTCCCAATACATGAGAGTGCCACAGCTCAACTATTTTTTTCCTTTCAGAGAGCAGCTATAGATAATGCATGCCTTACAATAACATCAAGATGAATGGATTGTCACCCCTTGTATGCTTATCAAAATCAGTGAAGTAAACCAAGCATGAGCAGTGAAAGAATAAGTTTAGAAGGTTCTTCTATACAAGTTTCCTCTGTGGCTCAATGAACTGTTTAGATGGAAGATAAAGCCTCACCTTTGCAGCACCCATAAGTCTCAAGAACTTTTGCTTTCTTTCTTCATTACCCAGGTCTGCTGCCTCCCAGCTGCTAGATCCAAGCTGCAAGACAGAAGGTGGCCTGTGGTCACGTTAAAAAGAAAGATAAGTCGATTGCATGCATACATTTTCAATTACTTTATCATACATTCTGAACATAATGTACAGCTTTTGTTTTAAGGGTACAGCCATGATCATTCAAGTTCAGAGCCACACACTGTTAATGGGGATCGTTAAACCCCAATCAGCAAAGCTACTACCCACACGGCAACAGCTTCTTGAAGGCACCTATTAATGGCTAGTAGCAAACTACAGCCCTAGAAGCAGGTTGTGGAGGCTGTGGAAATGCCCAGCTCCTTTCAAGGGAAGTGGAAAATTTATAGCTGCGTTTAAACAAGATCAGGAAGACTTTTTTTAAAAAAGGAGGCTAAAAATGCAAAGCTTATTTAACCACCTGTAAACTAAGCATGATTTCCAGGAAAGCCCAGTTAATTAGTAGCTGGCACTATGTGAAAATACATGTTGACAATCTGAAAAGTGGGGTGAATTAATCATTGCAGTTTACTGGTTACTGGGATTATCAGGGATCAATAACACAATTTCAGTTAACTGAAAGAATATGCCTATTTTCCACCTTGTCACTGTTTGGATGTGATCAGCTCCTTCAGAAACCTACCATATGAGGCTGCAGCACTTATAGCACAGCCAAACACACCAGCAAATGGAAGCAAGCTATCACCCTCTCTACCAAAATTCTCTTTTGAGAAAAGTGAACCATAGAATTAAAAGCTGCTTCAGACATCATAGAATTAATCAAAAGTTGCCCACAATGTACAAGTGCTGCATATATATATATATATATGTACGTCGACCATCAGCAGCAGGGAGAAGCAGCTGTGGACTCTTATGGCCAAAATATGAATGCTGCTGGTGTCATATCCACTGTGAAGCTGCTGAAACAGTTGAAAAGGATAACAATTGTGGCAGTCCTCCAGAAGACATTCCAAGCCTGGGGATGCAAGCTTTTTGAGAGGGAGGGTCTACAAAAGTAATAATCTGTAAATATATATATTATGTTGCATTGAATTTGACTGTCCTGCTTTTATCCTATCATTAATCAAGTCCTCCATAATGAACTCAGAAATAAAGGCAGCTATTTGGCTAATAGAAGTGCCTTGCAGGTGGTATCCCAGTAAATCCCATGTCCCCTTTCGTGTCTGCAGATACATTTGTTGTGAATTTTATTAAGCTATTTAACTCCCTGTAGGCTTTAGATATCAATACTTTTTTGTACTCCCATCAATTCCCACACAAGTGGCTTGGATGATTATAATATAAAGCATTGTTCTTGCTTTCAACTCACTTTTAGGCATTGGGGAACTTTCTGTTTTCACAGGTTTATGTTATATAGGTAATGTTTTATAGCATATGTGAGCATACAATGTTGTATTTTGTTGTCCCCATGGAACTTTGCTAACTCAATCAGGGACATTCAAAGTTGTTTCACATATGATTTAGTTGGGTCTCATTTCACCACCACACCTTGGCCATGTTTATGTGGACAGATGGTTAGCATTCCAATCATTCCTACATTTCCTACCTAACATCATTCTTAGTGCTCAGATACACATTTTACATTATTTTGGTTGCTCTACCCACTTCTGAGCAGTAGCTGGGACAGGATCCACAAATGATGTACACAAACACAGAGAACCAAGGGACTTTAGGGTCGCTTTGATTTTATAGGCGCCCTTTAAAAAGTACGGTTGGCACACCTGCGTGTGCAATAAAGTTCTCTAGCTATTTCCCCTAGATCGCTTGACATTAAATATCTAGTTAAATATTCACACGTGAGTAACACACACAGGCCCGATGCACGCTTCCCCCCCCCTCCAGACGAGGCTGCTACACGTGTTACAGCTTTTCTGCATGCCAAACCAGGGCCTAAACGTCTATGAAAGCGCGCCTTTCGCCTCGGGGTTGCTTAGGACATGCCATGCCCCCAAAACTAAGGCGGGGGACTACAATATGCACAAGCCCAACATGGAGAAAGGGGGGACGGGGCTTGCGGGAACAAGGGCCACCGAGCAGGTCAGTCACAGTGTCCCTTCTCTCTGCCAAGCCGCGAGGAGAACTTCCCCGCACTTGGGGCACAGGAGACGTCGCCGCGTGGCAAAATGCGCGGCGAAAGGGGCCACAGCTGGACGAAAGGATCCTGACCTCCCGGCCCACTTTGCAACTCTCCTCGGGGCAAGGAGCGAGCAAGGGCCCCGCAGATGAGCGGCGGGACAGGAAGAAGCCCCTTCCCCCTCCCCCCGCCGCCTCCCCTCCCCCCGCTTCCCAACCCCACTTCCTCCCCCAGCCGCCCTTATTCACATCGGGGGAGGCCGCTCGCTTCACTCCGTGGCCGCGCTCAGGCTGGGACTCCCTGGCGGCGCTCATCTTGCAGCCGCCCCGATCAGCAGCCCGCCCCGAGGGCCACTTCCCGGCCCTGCTCGCTCGCAGCCCGAGCTTCGGCGGTCCCAATCGCGGCTTCCTATTCCTCCGCCTCCGCCTCCTCGCAGGGCTTCCCACGGCGCAAGCGCGCGAGGCAGAGAAAGAACTCCCGCTTAGGTCAGGCGGCGGGTCTTTCTCCCTCCCCGTCTGGCTTTCCCTCTCAACTTTTCCCTTCTTGGGAGTTGTAGTTTTTATCCTTCTAACCACTTGCTGCTATGCTATGGGAACTCTCGGAAAGAAACTCCAAATCCCACAAGCCTCTGCGACATATCTGCGCGCTTTCTCCGTCTCTCTCGCTCGCTCCTCCCCTCGCTGGTGATTGGCTGTCGGCGAGATGGGCGGGGAAAGGAAACAATTTGATCGGTGGTTGGTCGCGTCTGTAGATTCTGTGTTTCCCCCCTCATTCATGCTTCCTCCGGTGTTGAGGATGTTTCCTTTTGCATTTTGCTCTCCTTCTCTCTCCCTCCCCATCAAAAAAGAGGGTAGTTTACTGAGCACGGATTCAACTGATAACATTCTCCTCTGCCACAATTTTTATGGGTTAGGCTAGGATTCCCGATTGAGAAAATGTAAGGCAGCAGTCCTGTGCACATTTACCTTTGTTAGTAAGCGCCATTGAACACAGTGGGGGTTACTTTTGAGTAAACATGCAGAGGCTTCCACGGAACATTATCTCAAAATCAGTCCTAAACGCTTGATGTGGCAGTAAATCCCGTTAATTTCCGTGGCATATTTTGAAACGGCATGGCTTGATTTTTGTGTGGTCCAGTCTTACCAATTTTGTGCAAAAGTAATAAGGACTGCCTGTTGCTGAAATAATAGCTGTAAAAGGTTCTGGGGTGAGCCCAGGACCAGAATACAGCATGGCCCAGGAGATGCGGCTTGCTGCTGGGAAGTGGGAATCACTTGCTTCTTATTTAAAGTATTAATACTGTACAGTATTCCGCCTTTTCCAAAAAGTTCAAGGTGACTAATAAAATTAGGGGAGGGTACAAATACAGTGAAAATAACAAAAAAAATATAAATATAGTAACATTCTGAAGACAGGAAAAGAACTAGCAGATAAAACAAAAGCAGCAAGTAAATAATAAAAATAAAATTTTATTTATATCCCACCCTCCCCAGCCGAAGCCGGGCTCAGAGCGGCTAACAACGGTAAAATCAAACAGGCTACAATTAAGCCACTAAAAAGATTCAGAAATTCACTTTGTAAACTCTTATCTTTCTCAGAGCTGTCTTTGAAAAAGAAATCAAGTAGTCAGACTTAATATAACTTTCAATTATTGGTATGGAACCCGTAGCCCTCCATCAGCCCCAGCCAGCATGGCCAAAGGTCAGAGATGTCCAGCAACATGGAGGGCCACAGGTTTCTCACGCTGTCCCATCTGAGTGAACACTGAAGGAAGGAGAAAGTTTATATACATTGTTGGAGCAGATAAAAAGTCTCCATTTTTTCCGCTGTAGCTCAGGCAGTAATGGCATACCATCAGTGTAGCTTACGGAATTGTAGTTATTACCAAGCAATCATATCAATTCTGTCAACCGTAGTAGGAAAGCATTTTAACTCAAAATGCAACAGAATGTGGATTGTTACATTTTAGATTTATTTTCAAGCCAGAGTACCTCTAGAGTGATGACTCTCTATAGCCTTGAGCTTAAACAAATATGGTGCATATGCTGTGACACTTTGGTTATGGCTTATAATTTCTGAGCATTTGTTTGTGTATGTCAGACTCTGCCCATATATGAGTGGATCTCGCAGCAAAGCTGGGGCCCAAATCCAAAATAAGTTGGGGGAAATGGAGTTGCTCTGCAAGTCCATTGTGGGGCAGCTTATTTTTTTGGGGGGGGCAGCTTATTTTATTATTATTTGTGTGTGTGAACACCCCCCCCACTTTGTGCCACAACACTTGTCCCATACCTGATGAATAAAATAATACCCGAGTGTCCATTCCTGCACATGTGTGATGAATATGTAAATTTTGGAAGAGACATGTTTTCTCTAAAAATATGTACATGGCCCACCCTACCATGAAAGTGAGGCAGCTGCCTCAGGTGACATGCTGAGCATGGGAAGCAGCAAAAAGAGAATAGACGTGTGTGGGATTTCAGGTGTGGCAGAATACTCCATTGCCACTGCTTAAAATTCAGCTGCCAGTATAGTTAGTTTCTGTACAGTACAGTACTTGGAATTAGGGAGTGGTCACATCTTGTCCTACACCTCAGGCAACAAAATGTCTTGGGGACCATGCAGTAGGCCTGCACCAAGGAGCTGTGATTGGTCTCAGGTCCCTAATTTTTGTCAACTGTACTTTGCGCATATATATATATATATATATATATATATATATATATATATATATAATACTAATGGCAGTTGTGAAAAGAGGAGTGATTCGGATCAGGACTGGAGAAAGGAGTTAACCCTTCCCTTCATTCCCTTGCTTACAGGTGTGCTCATATGCTCTCCCTAGAAGATTACCAATACCAGGGGTTCAGCACAACCCCTCCAGAGAGAGCCAACATGCAGCACAGTTACTCCCCTGTCATTTGTCATAAACAAACCTTTCCTGAGTGTAACCTGCATTGCAGCTGAGGAAAGTCCTTTTTGCATCCAGGATGGAGAGAGCTCACCCTTCAGTCTAGGTAAGCTGCCTTAAAGCAGAGCCTGCTTCAGCTTTCCTGTATCTAATAATGTTAAAAACTTGAGAATTTTCTGCAGTTTATTTTATTAGAAGCTTTTGTTCTTGGGATTTGGAGTTGAGGGAAAGGAGCCTGCGCATATGCTCAAACACACTCATTTCTTGATTGTTACTTCAGTGCTCCAGATGTTGGCTGAGCCCTGATAAGCTCTGGCTCATAGTCCTTGACTAGAGTACTTGAGAGATTGAAAGCCATTTCAAAATTTTCTCCTATGCTATTTTAAATAGAAATAGTGATGGGCCCCTACATTTTCACTACTGTACTGAAAGAAAAATCAAAATGGTGACCTTGGTCTAGAGTTCACTGACTGACTGACTGACTGACTGCAGTACAGTATTTGTGTACTCGTTTTCAAACATAGGAGTTCTCAAAGCAATTAACAGTAACAGTAATAGATTTATAAGAGGATAGTATTTCCCATATGGTTTTAAACACAAGCTTTTATTTATTTATCACAATTTCTGTATACTGCTATTCACAAAAAAAATCAAAGAAGTTTACAACAAACATATTACATATATTACATATATAATAAAAACCATACAGAAATTTTAAATCAGTGTTGCAGACAGATATTTTATTAATTGCCTGTGTATGTTTGCCATCATAAAAAAAATACAGAAGGCATGTAACAATTAAAACAGTAGGTACCTTCAGTTAGAAACTGAAGGCAGGAAAATGGTGCCTCAGTCCCACCCCATTATCAACTGCTGGTTGTTGGAGATTACATTGCTTCATGGGAAGGATAGCCCTGAGCAGAGAAATTTGGAGACTACCGCTCTCTGTTTAATCATATAAGTGATATATGGATATTATATAACAAGGATCTTCTTATTTCACCAGGCATATTAAGATAGTTTTATGCTTTTAGGATGAATATTAATTGTTCTAATTCTCTGCATGCTTTTGTTAAAAAATGCACATGCTTAGATTTCCTGAATATTGAGTGGTATTTGAATATCTGAAATAAATAAATCTGGCTTGAAATAATACATTGTACCTTTTTAATTGGGTTATGCTACACATATTAGTAACATGGCAGTAATGAAGAAAGATTCACTTCACTGCAAATGGCACTGAAACGAGGAGGGTGCAAATAGGAATTTAGCTGTACATCCACTGTGAGGTGATAACTCTAGTTCTGGTTTCGGCCTAATTTAAATATCCTAGATAGGACTTTAAGGACTATTGCCTACTTCCTCTTAAGCCTGCCTTGGCATTAAAATCAGCTTTGGGGTCCCTGTTCCAAGTGCCATCCCACAATAGTCTGATGAACAAGAAATGGGTTTTCTGTGGTAATGCCGTAGCCTTGGAATACTCTGTCAGTTGAGATCTGTGAGGGCCCCTCTTTGAGCGTTTTACTCCATAAACAGGAGCCTTTTATTTTAGTGGGCTTTTTTTTACTGTCTGATGTTAATGTGATTTTATTATGTTGCTGTATTATCTGTTTTATATTATTTAGTGCTGTGATTATTGTTTATTTGCTGTAAGTCACTGAGCGTATCAATGGAAGAGCAGAACAGAAAAAAATATTGTTATTGCTATTATCACTTGTAATAGTCAATGAGACTGACCATGTGAAAGTTCCCACCTGTTCTTACTTTTGTTTTATTATGAAACAAAAAGAGTGTGTACCATAAAGAGCACCAGTCTGAGGAAAACTGCCTTGGCTGTTAACATTTAAAGGTCCTTTTAAGGCTCAAGAACATAAAGAACAGACATATTCTCATTCTGAAATGGCTTTCATACTTTTGAAACCATTATAAAAACCTTTCTTTAAAATGCTCCCCCATTTTTACAAAACGGTTTTGAACACATCAGTGTGAAGATTGCTGCTTTCACAAATCTTGATTTCTGTGGTAGCCAAACTACTTTTTATTAACAGAGGAAATAAGAAAGGATTGCTATTTTGCTTTCGTTTATACTGTACTGGGGAATGGCAACAATAAAAAAGTTAGGAAAGATTTATCTTTGCAAAGTGGAGTTCACAGCCCTTATGAAAATGGTTGAACATCTCATGCTTCTTCTTTTTGCTTCTTCTTTCTTTACATGCCCACACTGGGCTGGTTCACACATGCATGTTCAACACTTGATGGCTACAGCATCAAGTAATCACTTGCACATGTGAGCAAACAAACATACAATGGTACCTCGGTTTACGAACTTAATCCGTTCCGGAAGTCCGTTCTTAAACCGAAACCGTTCTTAATTTCCCCTATGAGGCATCCTGCTGCTGGTGCCCTTCCACTGTTCGGCTTCCATTCTTAGACCAAGGTAAAGTTCTCAAACCGGGAAACTACTTCCAGTTTTGCGGAGATCATAAACTGAATAGTTTGTAAACAGGGCTGTTCTTAAACCGAGGTACCACTGTAGATCACATATCACAGAGAAAGCTTCCATATGATTTGGTCTCACAATGCTTTTCAAATGAATC